TTTTTTTCTCTAGTTCTCACGGGTCGGGTGGGTCGGGTCAAGGCTTTTTTAGTGAATTGGCGTGGGCCCACCCCGTTTTGAAACGTTGACCTGTGAGTCAAATCGTCAACGGGCAATCGTATACGGTTGGTCTTTGCGTCATTTTATACGACTCATACGTTACGAGTTCACGACATTGACGTAGGAGTTTAAGGCTCTTAAATTGTGTCCGTTCTTATTGTTGCTCCTCTGTGGCCGTTCTTATTGTTATTAGTCCTTGCAACCATGAACCATATCCCTCTCTCTTGTCTCTAGTACCTTCCATTCCTTCTCTTCCCTAGAAAATTGGATACGTGAAAGGTGAGGATTGGTTGAAAAGGAAATGAGAGAAAAATGTATTTTACTACGTTTAATTTAGACTATCAATTATATTTTAAAAAAGAGTTAGGTTTAGTATCTAAATTGTTAAAAAGGAAAATGAGAGAAAAATGTATAACTACTATACTATCCCTTTACTGTTAAGTCTACTATTTTATTTCCAATCGAAAAAGAGTCTACTATTTATGTAACAGCTTGTTTGATAATCATTTCAATTCTGGTTTTAAATTTTCGTAGTGTGAGTCATGTTATTCTCTGTATTATTGTCCTTGCTTTTTTAAGTGAAATGATGGGAGCATGGAAACTTATCTGATGTGACCTTAACATATATGCATGTTGACAAGGTCACAGGCTGGCCATCACAATAATTTTAGATAGGTGCATGCATGATATGATTTCAATTTAAGATTGGATTTATTAGAATGAATTCGAAGAAGTCTCGTAGTGATGTCGTTTCGTCGACAAAAAAATAAATCAAATTGGGACCACTATAACCTCTTACTTTTGGACAAAATGTTAGTGAAACTTTAGTAACATTGTTTTCTTGGGTAATCTTTACAAATTCAAATCATTGTGATGATGGCGTTGGATTCGTTTGCAGTAGGAAAGATTATGTAATTGATAATGACTGCCTAACTAAATTAGAATTTGGAGAGCTTCAACAGCTTTGGTTTGGCTTGGCTGGCCCTTGTGATTTTGAAGTCACTGATTTTACATTCAAATTCATGACCCAATTTGAATGTGCAGGTTGATGGCGTACGGTCTGCCTTGAATGCAATTGGATTCAAAGACATTGAGATTTTGATTGCTGAGACTGGATGGCCATACCGTGGAGATAGCAATGAGGTTGGACCTAGTGTTGAGAATGCAAGGGCATATAATGGCAATTTGATTGCACACCTTAGATCCCAGGTTGGAACTCCACTGATGCCTGGAAAATCTGTCGAGACTTATATCTTTGCACTCTATGATGAGGATTTGAAACCCGGCGGGACCTCCGAGCGGTCATTTGGGCTGTACAAGCCTGATCTAACCGTGACATATGATGTTGGTCTCTCAAAGAGTAGCCAGGTGACACCATTAAAACCTTCTAGGGAAATGGTCTCTTACCGCATATTTTGATATGTTACATATATTGGTTGGCTGTCAATCTAGGCGATTAGCTAGGTAGATTGTCGGTTAACTATTTAGGGTTCAGGGTAACATGCAGGCATTTTATTTTTTACAATCTTCATGCTTAATGATTAACCCTTATATTTATATCCTCAGACACCATCCACACCTTCGTCGACACCATTGACACCATCGACACCAAGAGTGACTCCTTCACCTAAGCCTAGTTCAGCATGGTGTGTGCCCAAAGCTGGCGTTTCTGATGCTCAATTGCAGGCAAATCTTGACTATGCTTGTGGCCACGGCATTGATTGCAGTGCAATCCAACCGGGAGGTGCCTGTTTTGACCCGAACACCGTAGCATCCCATGCTGCCTATGCCATGAATCTGTATTATCATACTGTTGGGACAGTTCCACTAAATTGTGATTTCTCACAGACAGCAACTCTCACATCCTCAAATCCCAGTAAGTTTTCCTCACCTTTAGAAGCACATATATGAAATTGCCCATTTCGACCATGATGGGGACACACCTTATGAAGTGAATGATTAGAAATCTAAAAGATTATGAGCTTTTTATTTTCTAAATTAAGTCTTCCAATTGGTTGCAGGTTATAATGCTTGCACTTACCCTGGTGGAAATACATGACTATATGATGGTGAAGCAAAGAAAATTAATATATCTAGTGACGGATTTGTTAAGGTTAGAAATCAACGGAATATAGGGAATAAGGTCTTGGTGTGCCTTTTTTGGTTGTTAATTTATTATATATAGCCCTTTAATTGTAAAGATTCCTAGTTTTTATTGGGATATCTGTTAATTGTAAGAACTCTAGTATAATATTTGGGAATGTGAATGTACTGCTTCATGAATGGTGAGGGTTTAAAGAATATATAAAAATGCAACATGAATGGTGAGGGTGAATAACTCAGAGTCGTCAGATGGATATGGATTTCATTATGAAGTTTACATTAACCTCTATGGATATGGATTTCATTCCAAAGCGTAATCAAATACTTGTGCTAGAAAAATCCATTTCAGACCTCTAATCTGATATGAAAATGAATCTTCATTGGTATAATGATACTTCCCAACTCAAGAACTACTATCAGCTAAAAAAAAAAATTAAAAAAAAAGACAGTCTCCTATGCTTCCAAATGCATCAAAATCAACATACGTCAAACATTAATGTGCATTAATAGTTGACAATCACATATACCGTCAAACATTAATGTGCATTAACAGTTGACAATCACATATACCGTCAAACATTAATGTGCATTAACAGTTGACAGTCGCATATACCCTTGTGTTCAAGTAACATGATCATGTGGTTAAATCGTCTCTATAGAAAATGTCGTATACCCTGCACCCCACACTCTCCAATCATGTTTTAAGAGAGTGGGCCGCGTTTTTGTTATTGTTCCATTGATGGCAACCTGACATTGTCACATACAAATGATAATGCAAGTATTGTCACATACAAATGATAATGCAAGTATTGAGAGGAGAAAAACTTAGTTGCAACAGAGATATTACTGTGTTGCTATTTCAGATCAATAATGTTTTGCAACGTGAAAATGTAGCAGTACTAACAGGAGATAGCAAATTAATGATATCCCCATTTAATGGAAGTCTTTCTGAGGCTCTTCTGCTTTTAAAAGTATGAATATTACTTCTTGTGACATATCAAACAAAACCAGAAATATACATGTTAAAAATTCAATGCAAACTGTTTTCGTAAATATGCTATCCCAGAGAATATATTCTCCAAATGAAGGGATCAAAAATGAGTGATCCACTTCAATGAACATCAAAAGCTCCATCCTTTGCCTAAGAGATAATGTTGTGATGCCAACAACATCAAGGTAAGGTTAAGCATATTTTCATCTTCTGAGTATCTGAACTTTGTTTCCCCTCCAAAACCTCAGCTTCTGCACCATTGATGGTGTGATACGTCATCATTTGTAGCATAATAAAGAATCTTGTTTTTTTTTTTTTTTAATTTTTATAGAAGCAACAACCTGTATATAGAAGAGGCAATTGTCATGTATTTAGCTAGTTCACCGGTTGAAAAATTCCTAGTTCCGCCCTTTGTTTATGTAGTGTATGAAATTTGAGGTAATTGTAATGAGACCTCAAACACAATGACAAGATAATTGCATTTAGAACAAAGCAACAACACCATGAATCTGATAGATCAAAAGTGAAGTCCACGACAATAATTCTGGAAATCACAATAGATTTCAAGGCTGATAATGGAAATCATGGGTGGCAATGATTCATTTAGAAAAAATTAGATTATGAACCCCAAGTTGAAGTTTGATCATTTCTAGCATTTCCTGTGCCTCAACTTGCATCAGCTATGAATAGTGAAAATTCAAGAAAGTAGAAGAAGTGCCAGAGGAATAAGAGCTTCATTTTTAGACATTACTACATCTCCTAAGATAGATAGCACATGCATCCTTTTAAATATATATATTTAGTTTTTCTTTTTTATTTAAGAGTAAAATGTGGAAATAAAATAATCATGTTTGAAAAGAAATCAAAGGAAAACAATTTGACATGATGAGGACAGAACAGAATGAGACAAAGCAATTTATAAAAAAAAGGAAAAAGAAATAGAGAAATAAAACAGACCAAAAAGAAAAGAGAAAGGGAGCACCGCATATAAACTCTTTATTAGAACCCAAATAACAAAAATACCCACATCCAAATTATGAAAAGAAAAAAAAAAATCATTTGACTTTCATGCGCACACACTAAATGTGTTGTTTTTGCCACGAACTAAATACAAAAACTTTTTTTTTTTTTTTGATCCAAGTGATATTAGGGGAGGAGGGTTTTCTCACGCACATATTGTCAAAGTGCCATTGGAGTTCGAATATAAGATCACTGGTTTGCAAGTCAAAAACCTTTTCCACCAGGCTAGACTCCGTTGGCCTAAATACTAAAACTTACCTCGTGATGCATTGAGCTTATAGTTCAAGTGATTAGGCCTTTGTTTAGTGGTCAAACTTTGATTGAATTGGAGTTGAATTCAAGTCAGTCATGTGAGTCTCATCCCTCTAGGTGTGATTTGTGAAACACAATATGTTAGATTATTGTCAATTTAAATAAGTTTAGTCCCCAACGCACTAAATAGCAATTAAGACTCATGTCCATTTTAATTGAAATAATCCAATTCAATCCCACACCAATGTCACCCGAGGTTCTAAAGTTGGATTCATTCTTCCCTCAATATCGCTTTGTATATATTAAAAAAAACTTAACTCATGATTAAGTTTGTTTTAATAAAAAGTGTTCATACACCAAAATTAAGCGCAGCCCAACAAAAATGTACACGTCATCCAAGTATAATAGTAGCATTCACATGTGAGTTGTGACTTGTGGAACTATGAGACTCACACGGTGTCTCCCATCGGCACACCTCCCCAAAAAAAAAAGCCAAGTGGACCGACGTGGGCCCCAAGCCGCCAGTCGAAATTACGCTTCTACCCTCACGACCCATGCCCAAGTCACCAAACTCTTAACATCACGGCTCTCACTCTCTCTCTCTGCCAATCTCAGAGACTCGTTCAGAGGCGAGACAACAAAACCATCACCTTCTCCCTTTTAACCTTTCACACCTACACGTACGGAGAGCTTCCTGTACTTCCTCGCAAGTTCGAGCTCCGTACTCAAATTGAAGAAGAAGAAGAAATGAAAACCCTAATTTCGCTTTGAATCGGAGGAGCTCTTTCACTTCCGCTCCATGACCAGCTTCTAAGCTCGAATTCCGAGCAATGTCAGTCGCGGAGCTCAAAGAGCGCCACGTGGCGGCGAGCGAGACCGTCAACTCGCTCAGGGAGCGCTTGAAGCAGAAGCGAGCCTCGTTGCTCGACACAGATGGTATGGTGTGTGGGTTTGTGGTTTCCTAAATTATCAATGGATATTATTATTATATTGGTCTTTTTGGGGTTTGAGATCTAATTGGTTTTTGATGGTGAATTCTTGCAGTCGCTGGGTATGCAAAGTCTCAGGGGAAGACTCCACTCACTTTTGGCCCCACCGATCTCGTTTGCTGTAGAACCTTGCAAGGTCATACAGGAAAGGTAAGATACTTACACATACATATACGTAATACATATACATCATATGCTTTCTGTGCTTGTGTGGTTTGTTGTAAAAATGAGCTTCTTTTGAATGCACTTTCATATGGGTTAATGGAATTGTTGGGCATTGGTAGTTTGAAGTGTGCTATTCAGAATAAAATGCTAATTTTTTTAGATTTTGAGTATGTGAACTTCGTACTAGTGGGGTTTGACAAGTTTGGAGCGTGTCGACTATTTTTTGAGAGGGAAATCATGCCTAACAAAATGTCCACAAAAGCACTAGATGCTTTATTTAGCAAGTTAAGTACAAAAGAGGGGAAAAGACATTTACAAGTTTGCAAAACAAAAAAGGGTATAGGTTGATTAGGGATATGGAGTAAGGTAAATGTATTGAAGACAGTGGTCAAAAGTATTATTAATAGGCAGTGACACTTTAGGTAAATATAAAAATTATTTTCCAGGATTATTAAGTCTGGAATACCTTAGGAACGAAAGTGAAAACAATATACCAAATCTATGGATGGACAAGTCCAACCAATGGACCAAAGGTAAGAGGATTACTTATAATGATCAGGAAGAATCAAGTTGCACGGCCTATATAAAGGGTAGCTCGATTTACACCGAAAGAGTAGCTCTCTACGTCCATCATTTCTTAACCGAAGAACTTTATCATTCTACACCCACATTTCCAAAAGATAATTAAGAAAAAGAATTCTTTCAAATAGAACCCATGGCCGGTTGCGTTTGGATTTAGCCATGTCTTCTTTCATTTTCTTTTGAAATCATGGCTGCAGGGTAACATTTCCCCTTTAAGAAAACTAAAGTTGTAAGAGAGCAACTCTTTGGGTGCAAAAAGATAAAGTTACTTTATAGTTTTCTGGAGTTGAGTGGCTAACTAAGTTATTTAATAAATTTTGATTGAAAGAGAAACGGAAAATGAGTGGAGAAAAATCAGTGTGGCACTTTGATTTATAAAATTAAATTGGATATACGAAACTTGGGAAATTATACAGGAATTAAATTAATGATTCCCACTTTGAAATTATTGGAAAATAGATTTGGAACTGGCTCAGATGATGGAACTTGCAGGTTATTTGACATCAGGACTGGGCACCAACTCCAAGTGTATCATCAGCAACATGGTGATAATGACTACCCGCCTGTGAAAACCATTGCATTCTCAATATCAGGAAGGCTTCTTTTTGCTGGATACACAAACGGTGATTGCTATGTATGGGATACTTTATTGGCAAAGGTATTTGTAATATAAAGAAAGTTGGATTCACATGTCTACATATGCTTTTGCATGATCAATTGAGCGCACTTTGTTTCCTAAGAAATTATTACTGCTGATGCCTTTTAGATCATGTTGTCTTGTACTTTATATTCTAGTTCAGTATATAAGGATTTTCTTCAGCATGTATATAGGCAACTACTTGAATGGGCAGTACTTTACATTTACATGCAATTGATTTATAATTAATTTTCTTCGTATATTAAGTTAGACTTGAGTTATATAAACTAATTTCTATTTCTCAAATATTTCTTGTAAATAAAAGCATAACATGAATTCTGGTCACAAAAGATAAATAAGTTTGGAGTTAAGATCAAAGGTTGGCTGGGTGACCGAGGGCATATTTTTCTGTTGACACTGAAACACAGCAGAGTGTTCTGTTCATGAAATAAGTCAACCTACTCAACTGGTTCCATTTAGTAGATGATATTCTGTAGCTCTTATTTCTCCCTTGATTTCTGTTTCTCTTAGAGTCTAGCACTTGAGATCATCTGAATATAATTCTTACTTGTGTGAAAATACTGTTAAGATTTTTGTCTGTAATAGTTATTCTTTAAAAAAGTTACATCTCAGATTTGTCAATATTTTCTGGGTTAAGTTTATTGCCACATGCCCTGCCTATATACTGTGAGATATCATTTTGTCCAAAAAAAAAAAAAGAATACTTTGAGATATCATAATGTCTAAATTACATATAGCCTTGCATGCAGTTTGAAGAAAAAAATTAGTTCAGCAAACGTACTTCAATACCTTAGAGGGTGAAAAGTAGAAAGAGTAGCGGTTGGCTTCCACCTTGAACGGTTATGATTGTCCATGATGCGTCATATGAAATGTCATGCATCGAATTTAAAAAAAATAAATGTGGAATACTTCTAAAATGTCGAAAGTCATAAATTAATCCTGCCATATGAAATGTCATACTTCCAATGCGTGTAATACTTTTAGAATGTCTATGTCATAAATTGATCCTATCAATCCTGCATTTTGTTTTTCTACCATCCTTTTATCAATATTTACGGATTTGTGTCAGGGATGTCGTTGAATGGAATGGCTCTAATTGCTCTTTCATTTTGTGGCAGGTGGTTTTGAACTTGGGATCCCTCCAAAACTCACATGAGGCCCAGATTAGCTGTTTGGGTTTGTCAGCTGATGGAAGTGCCTTGTGTACAGGAAGTTGGGATACAAATTTAAAGGTTATTTTCCTAAGGCCTGCCTGCATGGGAAACAATTACTAATATTTGTTGATTTTTTCTTCTTAATGTGTTTTTTTCTGCAATCAGAAGTAGAGAAAAAGTAAGGCAGTGTAATGTGATGTTTCTGTTGCAAGCAGCACCCTTTTTAGACACATTGACCTGCAAAAATATTTTTCTGTGTATGATGTACTTATGATGTATAATGCTTTTGGTAACTTGGGCCAAAAAATTTCTAGTTTATTCTAGAACTCTGAGATCCATAAACCTTGAAGAGGTTGTAGTAACTAGTAACTTCTGTGTGGCATTTTAAGATGCTTTATAGAGCTGAAGCGCTTATAGTTATTGGAATTTTGCCTTCTTATCGGGTTGTGTCTTTCTTTGCATCTGTTTACTCAGTATCTTTCGTTCATTGTATCTAATCTTGGTAGATTAATTCCACATTTAAGGTTGTGTCTTTCTTTGCATCTGTTTACTCAGTATCTTTCGTTCATTGTATCTAATCTTTGGTAGATTAATACCACATTTAAGGACCACATTGTTGATTACGTCTCTCATGAGAATACAAGTCAATCCCCCATGGGTGTCATCTGTGCAAGAGATATGGTCAGCGCTGTGGTCAATAAATATGGAACAAATAGTTTTGTTGATCTTGAAAATTGGAATAAATTTCCTTACAAAACAAGTTAATTTCTTTCAGTACTATAATTTTCTCTGGGTTAGATTCATTGGAGCATCTGACTATAATAAATGTTTGTTTGTTGGGTTGATAGACCCTGCCATTCGTTGTAAGACCATTAATATTCTTGGATCAGTATGGTCTTATTTGTTATGTCTATAGGTCCCTTTTTATGGTAGTTATGTTGGGTTTCTTCTTTATATTCTCAATCAGTCCACATGTGTCGTTCATTTTATGAAATATGACTTTGCTTTGTGTTTACGTTGCAGATATGGGCGTTTGGAGGCCATAGGAAAATAATTTAAGCCTATTAGGGAGCAGACATCTCCTCTTTGTATCCTGAATTTCAGCTTCTCTCAGACCCACGGTTCTTGATGCCTCTCATAGTATATCCTTTGTACCTTTCTGTGTTGTTGATGAAGATACTGGGTATGAGAATCTAGAATCCTCTAATGTGTTGCTTGTTGTAACCCACTCATTGGAAAAACTGACAATTTTAATATTGAGCAAAAGATACATATACATTTCGTGAGAACTCGGGCGTGAGAAACCTCCTCATCTGCTCTTTGCCTGAATATTTTCCCTCCTCTGTAGCTATCAATCTCACACCATG